TTCTTCTGAATCTCCTCCACTACGCAGAACAAGTTCAACGTGCGCAAGGACACAGAGAAATCGCCTTCTGGTCCTGTTTCCTGGATTGAAATCTCCGAGTCTGTCTCACGCCGCTGCCAATTTCAACCCGATGGTCAACTTTCTGTGAGCTTCTGGTTTAGCTGACATTAACGTTTTCTGAGCTGTGTTTTAAATAACTAATGGTTATTTCATTCCAAATTTTCATTCATTCTACTTTTCTTTATGGAAATTCCGTGGTGTTCTTGCTTTTTATACTTAGCCGGATATGCTTTAATGTTTAGTAACAATTGGGTTTGAGATTAAGAGAGTTTCACTTGTTTTCGAAGTAATGCCATGCTTCATAGTTTTATATGGAGTTGAAAGACAATCTGAGGTGTGAGGCGTTGGGCATGATGTGATTTTCCACTTGTGCAATCATATGGTGCTGATCCACTTAAGCTACTACTATCAGTAATATGATTATGGAATGAATTACCATCAGAAGTTTATAGGATTAGTGGCTTGCCCTTGGTTATGCGGTTCATTGAGTAAACAGGCTTCAGTGTATCATAAAAATTGAATGGCCAGTAGAGTGTCGTGTGATATAATCTTCTGGTTCTCATTGCTGCTCTTTATGATGCAAATGGGCCAGTGTCAAATCATCATTTTGAAACCTAGGTTGATCTTAGCTTCTCTACCTTTTTTTTAGCATGAATGTAGCAGCTAATAGTGAGCATGGGATTTAGATCGGAACAATTATCCAAAAGAGACTCGACTTCTATACCGTTAGGCATCGGGGAAGAAAAAAATATTTCTGCCTTTGGTTTAGTTTGTGCACTTTTCAAAAATACATATGAAAAGCACATCTCTCTGAACCTAAACTCTAAAGCACATCTGTCGTAGAGTCTTCAATGTTCAAAAAGACCCTTCTAAATGGTACCCTTATGATAACTAACTCACTGTTTCCACCTAACTAATGGTACCCACCCCCTTACACATGCTCTGACAAAAATTTCTCATAAACTCGAGTTTCTTTTACCATTGAATTGCTTTTTTAAAAGGAAAGACAATGTGGTTAGAGAGGAACAATAGAATTTTTTGAGGGCAGAGAGATCTTTAAATGAGGTTTTGGCGGGGGAGGTCTAAAGCCTGTTTGTGAGTGTTTGTTCGTTGATTTTTGTAATTATCATCTTATTATTCTTCTTTCAGATTTTTTTGTGGGCTTGGTATTTGTTGCCATTGTATATTCTTTCATTTTTTTTTTTCACTGAAAGCTTAGTTTCTTATCCAAAGAAAAAAAAAATAAGGAAAGAAAAAGGAAATCCTGTTCAAATTGGTCGGATTAAAGTAGATCGTTCTCTTAAAACAAACCTAAGTTCTGAATAAAATTACATTGAGAGGCATTTGGAAGAGGAAAATACCTAAAAAGATCAAACTCTTGCTTTGGAAAAATAGAATACGAAGAGTGATTGATGAAGGGAAATTATTTTGAACCGTATGACAAAATTTCTGATTCAACCATGATCGTTTTGAAGTTAGAATTAGAAAATGGTTTTTTTCCCAGTTGTGTAACCTTCAAATTGGATGCTAATATGAAAAGGGAAATTGATTTCTATAGGTGAAGATTATTGATGACTCAAGACCAGCAATTCAACGTGTTGTTGATTCCTTCCTCAATACATTTTTTCCCTCAGGATATCCATACAGGTAATCTGCATGATTTATTGTCACTAGTCAAAACAATTACATCAAGATTTGCATAATTCTCACCACCAATCAAGTAAGGTGGAGGACTGTTGTATTTATAATAAATTGAAAAAGGTATTGTGAGATTCCACATCAGTTGGGGAGGAGAACGAAACATTCTTTATAATGGTGTGGAAACCTCTCCCTAGCATACGCGTTTTAAAATCTTAAGGGAAAGTCTGGAAGGAAAAACCAAAAAATGACAATATCTGCTAGCGGTGGGCTTGGGCTGTCACAGTTATAATAGTAAATGAACAAGTGCCTTTTTACCTACTTGATTATTGCCGTCTTACCTGACAGTGTCAATGAAGGATATTTGAGGTATACACAATTTCGAGCATTGCAACATGTTACTAGTGCAGCTTTGTCAGTGCTGTCAACTCAGGTTTTTATCCATATCTTTCCATCTCTGGTATTGCATTATGATTACATAATAATTCTTAATATTAGTAATATGATAATTACCTGTCAGCTTCAAATGATAGAATGGTGGTCATTGATATAAGTTCTTAATTCTGTTCAGTCACTGCTGTTTGCTGCAGGCTTGAGGCCAACAGCGGCACAGGCTACTGTTGTTAGTTGGGTAAGTTCAACAATTGTTTGTTATGGATCCATATGCTTGGTGACATACTTCTCTCTTTCTTTTTTCTTCTTCTGTTCTTCAATTATTCATCAACTTTTTTTCCTTGTTTCTTAATAAATAATTTTATCCTTTTTCTTCCTGGAAGGTTTTGAAGGATGGGATGCAACATGTTGGCAAACTCATATGCAGCAATTTAGGTACAAGAATGGATTCAGAGCCCAAAAGGTGGAGAGTTATAGGTATGCATCTTTGTATCAATTTGTTATTCATTTTAAGATAGCATTTCCATACAGACATTATGTTGTTTCTTGGAGTCGCATCATGTGTGTGTGCACGCGTGTTTTTTTAAGTGACAAGTGACCATCGCTTCTAAATAATGATCGGATTTTATGCTGTAGCTGATGTCCTCTATGACTTTGGTGCTGGCTTGGAAGTTATTTCTCCCTTATGCCCTCATCTTTTTCTTCAAATGGCCGGCCTAGGCAACTTTGCAAAGGTTTAAGTTGCTTATCTCTTCGGCAAATTGTTTGAAGTATTATCAGTATTCGTCCGTTCTAGTTTCCGAGTACAAGAATCTTCTTCATTTGTGATTTTGAATTTCTATTTTGCTTTTTCTGGGGCTAGGGAATGGCTGTAGTTGCTGCAAGAGCAACAAGATTACCAATATATTCTTCATTTGCTAAAGAAGGCAATCTTAGTGACCTTTTTGCCAAAGGGGAAGCCATCTCCACTCTCTTCAATGTTGTTGGAATTGGAGCTGGGCTACAATTAGCGTCAACTATTTGTTCATCAATACAAGGAAAGGTAGGTTCCCTTGATTTTTTCACTATTTTCTTATGCATTTTTCACTGTTATAAAAAGATACAAAAATAAACTGGTGGTAAATTTAATATTCAATGATTATCGAGTAGTATTACTCTGTTTTCTGCATTTGTTGCCGGGATGACTTTTGAAAGTGGAAGAAATTTATTAGTAGGCTTATAGTAGACACTGATCCTGAACTCTAGGGGAATGGTATTTTTTGTGTTGTTGAGGAAACGACCGAGTATGGACATGAGAAAAATGTACAAATGTGAACCGGAAGGTTTAACAAGAAGACTTCACCATGAGACTGACAGCGTTACGTAACGGGTTAAATTAGATAATATCTACTAGCAGTGGGTTTGGGCTGTTACAAATGGTATTAGAGTCAAACACAAAGCGGTGTACCAGCGAGGACGTTGGGCCCCCAAGGGGGGTGGATTTTGAGATCCCACATCGGTTGGAGAGGAGAACGAAACATTCCTTATAAGGATGTGGAATTTTTCCCTATCAGATGCGTTTTAAAACCGTGAGACTGACGCGATATGTAATGGGCTTAAGCGGACAATATCTGCTAGCGGTGGGCATAGGCTGGAATTTTTTTTATCTTTCTTATTATTTGTTTAAATCTGGTTCAATCATGAGATACATTCAACTCGATGTGAATACCATTTTCAGTTGGTTTTAATTTCTATTCCATGCAGTTAGTTGCTGCCCCTCTCCTTTCAATTGTACATGTATATTGCGTTGTAGAGCAAATGCGAGCAACTCCAATAAACACATTGAATCCACAGAGGACGGCAATGATCGTTGCTGATTTCGTTAAGTCGGGAAGGATACCGAGTCCCGCTGACCTAAGGTACCATGAAGATCTTGTGTTTCCTGGAAGACTCATAGAGGATGCTGGAAGTGTAAAAGTAGGAAGGGCTTTACATGAGGCTATTAAGCCATCAAAACTTGTTGAAATGAAACAAATGTTCCCCGAGGAGAAGTTTGTTTTGAACCAAAGTCACAAATGGGTTGACATGGTGTTGGAGCATGATGCCTCAGGCGAGGATGCATTACGGGGATGGCTAGTAGCTGCATATACTGCAAACATAAAAGGGCCTTCTCATGAGCCAACTGCCAGCGTGTTGCTCGAGGCTTACGAAAAGATGAACGATGTGTTCACTCCATTCGTATCTGAACTTCAGGCCAAAGGGTGGCATACTGATCGTTTTCTCGACGGAGTGGGAAGTCGTTTTGCATGGTAGTTCTCCATTCTCTATACCATCTTTAATCGTAGGTTCATATAGGCTTGTAGATCTTTGAACAGGCAATCATTTTCTCACGAGAAGTCGAGTTGTTTTGCTTGATAGTTCTTCATTTGTCGGACTACGTTGATTCATGCAGGTTTGTTGATATCAAAACCATATACTATATGAAGTAGAAATAGATCCAACATTGTTACTTTTGTTAGAACAATGATGAGGGAGCTGTACAACACATTCACAATCTAGTTAGATATTTGCAGGTTCATATAAGCACGATTTCAAGCTAGCAGATAAAGGACATAAGTTGATATGATATCAAAAGTGTTCCCAAATGATGTGAAACTTCCATGATTTGAAATTTGGAGTTCTTTGGACGGGTGAATCCCTAAATCTCAAACCGTAGAACCCTCCATTTGAAATCAACTATTAAGCTTAGATTAGAACTCTCGATGAAGAACAAGTTCCTTAACACATGAATTGAATATTCCACAAAATATGATGAATAATCGAAAATTAATTTTTGAAAATGGTAATAAAAAATTAATTTTTGTTTATAAAATTGATCTATAGATTCAAACATTTTATTAGATAAATCAAAAACTAAAATTCAAAATTTTGGTTCAGTTCATCATAAACAATTTAAAACTCACAAAGATCCCATCCCCACTTTTGCAGTGCCCAAAAGCGGGACAAAGTTTTTGAAACTTTCCTGAAGAAATCCAAAGGACACACTCCCCCGAATCGGAGACCAAGACAATGGAGACTCGCTTACTCAGTTTTCTTCTCCTTCTCTACTTCGCCGCCGCCGCAGGAGAAGCTGCATTATCGCGCCGTCCTGGATTTCTCTTCTCAAGAACCAGAGGAAGATGCACTCCAGAGTAAGACTTCCATTTCCTTTCCCTAAAAGCACACATTCAAACACACTGATTCTTCTGAGAGGCTGCAAAATTAGGTTGAAATCCTCTTGTAAGCTCTAAATCGATTGAGATTTTCTAGTAGACATTTTCACAAACAGATGGACGCATGGGCTTTTTTTTTTTTTTTTTTTTTTTCCCGTAATCGATCGGATTGAGATTGGTTCGATTATTTGAGGCGTCCAGGTTCTGGAGTAGTAGGAGAGAGGCTTGGCCTCGGATGGCGCCGGAATCGGCGACGGTGGCGAAGATTTTCGGATCGAGAGCTCACGAACGGTACGGATCTGAGATGACATTACTGGCGGCGGCGACGGTGGCAGTGGCGGATGAGGAAGAGGAGGAGGAGGCGTTCGGTAGAGTAGTGAAGGAGGCAACCGCAGCACTGTTGAATTCGTATGCAAGAAGGGATTTCCCATACGCAGCTTGGGAGGTGAAAACATTGCTCATCAAAGCATTGGTATCTAAAGAGGCTGCTGCTCTTCAATCTCAACGCTTTGCCTTCGCTAATGAGTCCTGTAATTAGCATCTCATCATCTCACAACACAGCCGCTCTTGCTCTTTGCTTGATTACCATTTGGTAATGTTGGAGGGTTAGATAGATGGTTGTCTAGATTAACAAGTTGATAATCTTCATCGACAAATGTTTGAATTTAATTCTAACTATTGTATGATTTTGTGTTTAGAATCAAAAGAAAATGATGGAACCAGTAAACTTAGGAAAAGATTCATGTCAACAGAATTTTGAAGTGAATTTCAACTTCTCTCCCATGAAATAAAATATTGCAGATGTTGCCGTTACAGTAACCTGTAGCTCTGACATCAATTGTAACGTCCCCAACTTAAAGATTATATCTTATTTAGATTTGAAAAGTCGAGTCGTTATAGTTACATTCTTGAACTTTGAATTAGGCATAATTACATAGAGTAACCCAACATGAGTAATAAATAACTCAATAATTAAAACAACATTAAGGAGTAGGGATTCACTATAATCCAATACTTGTTAACGATCTGAAAACAATCGTGTAGTCATTCAAAATCAATTTTAGTGATAAAATGACTAAAATTGAATTTGAATGAGATTAAAGACATGTTTTGTAATGATTTTAAACCTAACAAAATTGTTTCAATTGAAAGTAAATGGATTAAATCGTTACAAACTTATCAGTTACTTGAGCTATGTTCACTCTAGGCGAACTTCTTAGATGAATATATAACCGAAAAACGCTATGAAACTCATAAATCATAACGCTTTGATTGCAACTAACAAGTATAATGGAGTCCAAGACTCTGATCTTCAGTTCAACACATCAATGGCTACTATACAATTCCTAAATAGAAGATTATTGAGACTCAAATTTTAAACTCTATTTACTATTGTGGACGACGACATGGATAATGTTTTTGGATTCCAGATTCAACTTGCCTGAGATTGCTGAGGATCACTTGTATTTTTGAAGACAGTTCTTCTGTTTGTTCTTCCACCTTGGAGATAAAATTGAAAAGCTTTTCCCTATAAGCTATGCATAGTTGCTCCTGATGCTCCAACTCCGTTTTGAGTTCCTCGATCTTCTTATCTTTATCGCCCTGCAAGGATCAATGTCGATGTCGATTCAGTTCTTGAATATACCAAGAACTTGAAATATAATACATAAAGGAAGTAGATACATGTCTGCACAATGAAAGCAACATTTATCACTCACATTCGTAACCAGCTTTATGCAGTGGGTAGAGAGTACTACCGCTACTTCAATTCCTGAAGCATTTCTACAACCAAAGGCTAAGCAAAAAATTGGCAATCTCAACAATTCAAGTAGATGTCATGCCAGATTTTTGTTAGATGGGTGTTCTATGCTCGTCTCGTTAGACTGAAAATCTTTCTGTTTAAGTTCTACGATTAAAGAAAAGTGGATGATTCCATAATTTTCCACGAACTTCCAGTTACAGCTTGTTAATCCTATGCATAGATCAGAACAGACTTGAGTAATACCAGAGATTGTAGACTTGGGTCCTCCGATCTTCTAACCAAAATTCCATTAGTCATGTCCAATCAACTTTGACAGACCCCAAGATCAATGATATAGGTAGCAATTCCTCAACCACAATGTCATCAGATAAGGATAGAACCATCCATTTACTACTATTCCAATGACAATCGATGTGAGATAAGCTCAAAGTGGACTGTTTGGGCTTTCCAAATGGTATCATAGACAGACACCAGATGGTGCGCCAGCGAAGACACTGGGGGTGGATTGTAAGATCCCACATTGATTGGAGAGGGTAACGAAGCATTCCTTATAAGAGCGTGGAAACATCTCTTTAGTAAATGCATTTTAAAACCTTAAGAGGAAGTCCTCGAAGGAAAAGCTCAAAGAAGTTAATATCTACTAGTGGTGGGGGGCTTGGACTGTTACAACTATCCCCATTCACCATCTAATATTAAAAAAAGAACATCTTTATTTTATGGATATGAAATAGAGGGATACATATCCCGGGGAAGATTCGAGAGCTCCCCCACAATCTCCAAGATCCCTTCCAAAAGTTCACCCCTATATCCCTTTGACCAGTTGAGCAGCTCAGGTTGTTCCTTTATTTATTTACTTAAATCTTCTCTTGGTTCTAAAATGTGCATAAAACTTTTGTCTAAACAATAAAAAAATGTACGATTTCTTGGTAAACATTTGGGAGAAACCTCTCTATTTAATGGAAGGGAGTGGAGCTGCCTTATAAATGTACATCAGCTGCGGTTGAATGAGGGTTAGTCAAGTAAAGGTTTTAGCAGGTGTGGAGAGTGGTGTTTTTGGTAAGTGATCATAGGGAGTATGGGGAGCTCTCAAATCTTCCCTTAGTAATGTATCCCTACATTTCCTGTCCGTAAAAGTAAAGATGTTCAATTTAGTCTTAGACCATTTAGTCTTAGAGCTATTTGGTCGCAGGGATGTTTGCAAAAGTAACTTTGTGAGATCCCATGTTGATTGAAGAGAGGAACGAGTGCCAGCGAGAATGCTGGGCCCTAAAGGGAGGCGGATTGTGAGATCCCACATCAGTTGGGGAGGAGAACAAAGCATTCTTTGTAAGGGTATGGAAACCTCTCCCTAACAAACGCGTTTTAAAAATCTTGAGGGGAGGCCCGAAAGAGAAAACCCAAAGAGGACAATATCAGCTAGCGGTGGGCTTGGACGTTACAAACTTACTTTGACATGGAACGTTGTGAGTGGCTATAGCTGTTTAGCGTACTTTCTGTACGGAGAAGGGTTAACTTTCTGTATGGGGAACTCTCAAATCTTCCCTTAGTTACATATCCCTTTATGCCCTGTTGAAGTAAAGAGGTTCAATTTATTATTAGAGCTGTTTGCTCACAAGGGATGGTTGCAAAAGGAACCGACTTTTGCATGGAATGTCGTGAGTGGCTATGACTATTTAGCACACTTCCTATATGGAGAGAGATGGACTTTTGGTAAGTGATCACGGGAAGTAAGGAGAACTGTCGAATCTCCCCTAGATATATATCCTTCTATTTCATTTTAGTATCAAGTTATTCGGTCACAAGGGATGGTTGTAAAGGTAACCGACTTGGCATGAAACGTCGTGAGTGATCCTAGGGAGTAAGGGGAGGTCTCAAATCCTCCCCTCGTCAAAGATTTGAGTCCTCACCCCACCCCACATGTTCTAACTCAAAAAAAATCAATGAACAAAGAAACAAAGAAACCTTTTGCATGGTATCACAGCATCTAATTCAACACAGTCCTCTTGTCAAACATGAAGCATATAACATATGTTAGAGAATCAGAATAACTTACCGAGCTGTTGAAACCATTGGAGCAAACAACCAAGGGATGATTGTGATCCTTCACAAATCGTGTAACGACCCATTTTCCAGACTTCTCCATTTTTACCAAAATCGTTGCCTTGCAGCCCTCACGTGCACTAGGCCGTGATTTCTTATCCAATCCATAAATCCCTCTATGATTGGGAGAGAAACCTTGTTTGTTACATCCAAGCCTCCGAGCTAGCGTTCTTCCATCAATTCCAGAACGACGTCGCTGCATGATTCGTACAACAAACCCCATTTGTCTGGCATATTCAGCATAAAATTTTCTGGCAGCATCTTCAGAATCAAACTCCATACCCACATATGGCTCCAAAATCACATTTCCTTCAGCTGCATGTATGTTAACCTCAATAGCGTTGTGCGCTGGCCCTGATCCGTCGTCTAAATTCACTGCAACACGTTCATCAACATTACTAACATTGCAAACGAGTTTAAAGCGTATAGGAAACGATATTATAACCAGTACACTCTCAAATTTCTTTATTAGTTATGATTCTCAATCAATCTAGGCCAATTGCAGTATTTATTTTATTGTCCATATTTGAAAGCAAGTGTAACCTCTTCCAGATTGCAAAGTACCCTTTTTCCAATATCAAGTTAAATATGGAAATATAACTTATAAAAAATAAATAAAAGCATAAAGCAACAATGAGGTATTGTAACAACCCAAGCCGACCGCTAGTAGATATTGTCTTTTTTAGGCTTTCCCTTTTGGGCTTCCTTTCAAGGTTGTTAAAATGCATTTGCTAGGGAGAGTTTTCCACATCCTTATAAAGAATGTTTCATTCCCCTCTCCAACCGATGTGAGATCTCACAATCCACCTCCTTTCGAGGCCCAGCGTCATTGCTGACACTCGTTCCCCTCTCCCATCAACGTGGGATCTCACAATCCACCCCTTCAGGGCCCAACGTCTTTGCTAGCACTCGTTTCTCTCTCCAATCGATGTGGGATCTCACAGGTATCCTCCATTTGTTCAAACTAAAAAAAGGAAATAAGAAACAATCGACTCTTCTATCTTATCCCATGATTGGACTCATCTCAAAGAAGCCATACTGATAAGAAAACTTCCCATCACAAGCTTTTGATCATGATTGACTCCATCAACTCACGATGTGAAGCACAAAGAAGTTTACGCAAACAAGAACAAAAAAATGGATTTACAAAATGAACACTGCTTTACCTGGATGACAGGTAACTTCATTCCTTCAAGCAGCAGGAAAAGAAAAACAAACAGGACAGCATCAATCAATAGAGTTCCCATAATTTAATATGTGGAGAAAAAACACCATTGCCATTCTTTTGAATTAGTATCAAGAACCTAAGTGAAATAATTCAAGTATATAGCAATTCTCCAACTAGATAGTACTACAAACATCAATCAACTATGTAGAACAATGAAAATGCAGCCTAGTTTTAAGAATCTGCCTTACTCTTTAATCAACCACAAGAGTCGACATGTGGGAAAATTCAATTAGCAGCCAGATTAGGGCATGAACTTAGATGGAACAACAACAAAGATTCGGTAAATTACGAACGTTTCAGGATCCAAGCAGCGAAGTACCGTAGAATGAATCACAAAACGAAACCTCACAAATAGAATTATGAGAACTCACTGAATAGAAACACTGCTAATCCGTCGAGAGCGCTTTACACACAAATCGAAGATTAAATGAAGAAAACTGATGACGCGCTACTGAACTGAGCAAATACTTGAAGTTTGAAGTGGACTTGGGCTCAAAACGGGAGTCGGGTTCTGTGGATTTTCACTGAAATCTCTTCCCCTTCGCTCATTGAAACGATGAAGAGATGCAACGGCGTAGAATCTTGCCGATAAACTGTGAGAACCCTGAATTTTTTTGTTTGGATGGTTAT